TAACATCAGTATCGGCTAGTTGTAAAATGGACAGAGCATGCCGCAGCTGTATAAAGTCAACTTCATGTATTATAACAAATGAAATTATTAAAATGAATGTGTCACCATAAAATAATGTGGACTGTATATTGATGACTTACCAAAAAAGGTTATACAAGAGGCATAATTTTACATTACATTGTACTGTAATTATGTAATATGTGAGGCGCTCGTCAAGATTTAAATGAAACCGAAGATGCCGGCATTTTTCCCCCGATTTTGCAATTTTTATCTAGTTTTTGTTTTTTGGTTCAGCACCTTTTATGTCCACTAAAAATCTTTTTTTTTCTGAAAAACGTTGATTAAACGCAGACGAGATGTAAATTTTCGGTTTCCAAGTTGTCTCAATCTATGGAACTCACCAAACATTAGATGCCCTTTTCTCGCTAATTCTTTTACCTCTGAAACCCGGCGACCCTACCTCCTTCAATAGCAAATATCTCGATTTTTTTTATTCAAGATAAATGTGTAGATCTATTTTTTAATCGAAAGCAGAACAAATGTACAAGCTTTAAGATAATATCCATATCCACACATGCTCGAAACTTGACAGGCGCTTGATTTGTCACCATAAAATAATGAAGACGATATTGAGAACTGACCGAAAAAGGTTATACAACAGTATGTCATACTTATACATTACAATACATTATACTGTCATTTGATTTAAAATGGGTTTATTTTAGTAGAGCTTTTACTTTTAGGTATGCAACTGCATAAGGTCATATGAGCGCCAGGGGGTGGATGTCAACCGAGAAGTCCATACAGGGAATCAGACTTACTCTGCTCACTGTTCATCTCTCTAGCTTCAACAGCACAAAGTCTGCTTCAACTGTCAAGGCACCCCGGAAATAGCGGGTCACAAGAGTGTGACAAACATGCAAAAGAAGTAGGAAGAAGAATTCAAAGGCTATACACATGTTTGAAAACTCTCAGAATACACATTTAATGGTTCATTTATAACAATTATGACAAATTTCAGTTCTGACCTAAAAATTAATATACACTTGATCGTTCGTTCACTTAAAAATACTTAAATGAAACTCCCCTCAAAAGATGTAGGCCCCCTCTGTGTTGTATGTGTTTTTAAAGTTTATAACACCGAAAAGCCCTCAAAATGTATTTAATGGACAGTTTGTTATTTAAGTAGTTTGTTCATTACAATGTCAACAAAAATAAAATATACACCCATACACTTTTGATAAAGATCAACATATTAGAATGTAAGCAATATCAAACGTATGTACTTTTGTACGTTGGGTTAAAACTAAAAAATACATCCATTATGACTAGCATATTTTTGCCTCTTCTTCGTATCTCTTTTGAGTCATCAGCACGCTGTTCTTCCATGTTTATGTTACAACGTAAAAGAATGTTGTGAAACAGCGAGAAATCTCACCATAAATATCATAAAGTTTTCGCTCATAACATTTTTATGAGAAACCTATATTATCTAAATCAAAGTCACATAGTAAAACCATGCTAGGGAGCGGAAAATTTCCCTACTGATGGGTCAATGTCAAACCAATGTTTAATACCTGTCATTCCTGGGGATGGTACGTTTAATGATGGAAATTTGGGTTTTCTAGACCTTGGAAAGTCTAATGATGTAAAATTATAAACACGGGTTATGAACGAACACATACATTTTACTCAGCAATAACATCACCAATAAAAATAAATATATAAGCCTGTCAATGGAAATATTGTGTTATGATGGGGGGTGGGGGGGAAGTATACGAAATATTGTCGATGTATGAATGCACTTCTGTTTGATAGATCTAGTTTAGGATCAACAATATTCGATATTATTTAAGATACAATTACCTGAGCACTAATAAGATGAGTAAAAAATGTCTTATTCTAACTACATGTTACATAAGAACAGTTTCGCGACAAAACACAACACGCGCCACATTTGAAGTTTGGATGAAACTAGTACCATCTTATCTAGAAAGGTAAGGCACGCTCCATGGTCAACTTTGTTTTTCACAAAGGGCGATTTTTCCTCTTAAAAATATTGCGAAAAGTTGCACTTCTTTTAACAAAACCTGACAAAAGAGGTAGACCTTTTTGGACAAACCGCAACATATCCTCTCCACTCTATGCCAATCAAGTTCTTTCCTCGAGTCTCGTGACTTTGCTTGTGGTCGACGAAAGTGTCTGTGGTTCTCTCCCTTCCTTACAGTATTAATGTGGATTTTTGTCACGTTTCGTCAAAAATGTTGTCAGATTTCAACCGATGAAACTCTAACATAGATTTCATCGGTTAGCGAATACCAACTAAGACTTACTTCATGTTGACCCTAAAACGGAAATTGCTAAAGATCTTCATATTTCTCAAACCAGAAAAATGTATATATATATATATGTCGCAAAACTGTTCATATCTTATAATACACACATACACACACACACACACACACACACACACACACA